TTCCAGAGAGCTATTTTTTAGCACTGGAGACCTAAAAACCTAAAAAGCGGGGCGAAACAGCCTAAAACCAAGACGTGGAATAGCTCTGGGATAGGTTTTTAGGTCGAGTGCTATCTTTTAGCCCTCCTGGAAGGTCAGGGTCGCAGCTCGAGGGGGGCAGGCCACGGCGGGGCAGGACTCGCGTCGGACGGGGCGGGCGCCGACGCCGCTCCTCGCGCGCGGGGGCCCGGGGGGGGGGCGCCTCCCGGGGAGGCCGGCTGCGGGGCCCGGGGCCCCCTGCAGGGGCAGGCACCGGCCGTCCTCGGGTGTCCCTGTTGGCCTACACCCTGCGAAATGCTTAAGAAATCATGGGTTAAGAAATTCATAGTCTCAGAACTTGAATAAAAACCCAAAAATTCTATCCACATCTTGGGATTTACATTGAAACATTAAGAATAATCGAGACTCTGGCCGAAAATTCAAGTTTTCTTAAGCATCGCCTAAGGTGTACCACGAGGGGCTCTGAGGAAGAGGGAACGTTCAAGAACAGAAGGAACAAAATGAACATCATTTATCCGACCCTCACCCCCAGCAGAGTGGGCGGGCCCCACTGGCTGGGAAAGCAGAAGGGCTCGGGATGGGGATGGGGATGGGGAAAGGGGAAAGGGGACGGATAAACGGTACTGGCACAAGCAGTGTTCTCAGAACTCGATACCGATCAATGGAAACTAGACTGTCTCGGCTGCGTGACTCGACCAGCAATGTTCTAAGAACATGCCGTACACGCCACAGAAGGCTCTTGGGATGTGGGCCTATGGGCAAGTCAGGAGGCTTCGCCAGTGCTTGACCCCTTTCGGTTGCAATCCATAGGAGCCTCCGACACAATGTTGCGGGCTCCTGCGAATCGACGCCTATCGACGCTAACTACGCGCTATCTCCCCGACGACCAGACGCCAGTCGACGCCAGTGCACCCTAAGGACGAAAGTTCGAGGGTACAGTCGACCATGATAGTAAGGATGGGGCACCTTTCCAAAGCTACCCTTGCATCCTTGCCCCTTCGGTGTTCGGCATCCCTCGGCATTCTGCTGCGCCCCGCACGGAAACCGTCAACATGGCGTTCCGAGGCCCCTGTATCCTTACCCGCGCACCCTCGCTATCCTGGGTCGAGGGCATACGACGCTCCCACGACTTGCTACCGAAGGCCCCCTCGTCGCCTCTCATTAGGGACCCCACAAAGGACGTACGCGCCCAGCTATTGTACATGAACACGGCCCCGTGACCCGCGAGACGTGCCGCGTGATACGCACAGTCGTGCAATGCGAACTCTCGAAAACTGCGTGGATTCATGTACTTTAGTAGTGGAAACAATTGGTCTTCAAAATGTTTGGTCTTTAGAAGCTCTGCGTGGCGACGCCCCCGTCGCCACGCGTGCCCTCTGCGTGCCTGCGGGGGCGCCGCCACGTAGAAGTACTGGAGACCGAGCATTTGGGGCGTCGCTACGCACGCCCTCTGCGTGGCTGCGACCATTTGTTAAAACCCTAAAACCAATTAAATTCACTAATAAAGTACGTGTACGTCCTTCTTTCGCTCCTGACTCGTCCCGTCGAGCGCCGACGTGCGCCGCGCCGGGGCCGCCGCGCGCGGCAACTCGCCGCCGTCGCGCCGTCGCCGCCACACGCGGCGGCGTGCGGCCGTCCCGCGCGGGCGGCGAGGCCCGTCTGGCCCCCCGAGGGGCTGCTGCGCCTGTCGGTTCGCAGTCAAAGGACCCCTCGCCCTTTGGGGGCGAGCCCTGTGAGAACGGTTTTTTGAAGGCAGATCTGCCTTCAAAAGAACGGTTTTTTGAAGGCAGATCTGCCTTCAATGTAAGAACGGTTTTTTGAAGGCAGATCTGCCTTCAAAAAACCGTTCTTACAGAGTCGGCCCCCAAGGGCTGTTGCGCCTGTCGGTTCGCAATCAAAGGACCCCTCGCCCGTTGGGGGCGAGCCCAGGTCATGAGAGGCCCAGGCCATGAGAGGCATGATGTACGTTTCGCGGATGCGCCGAACCAGACCACCCGGAGTGATTATGCAGCAGGAAGGGGGCCTGGGTCGGGCTGCGACTCCGTTGTGTTACCAGGGCTAAGGGGTTCTTCGATTCTCCGTGTCTCGTGCGCTTCCTGCCTACCCCGAAGTTCCAGAGGAACGGGACGCCGCCGATCGGGCTGGGCTCAATGGGGGGGGCAATGACTGGGTCGGGTGAGGACGCTTTTCGTGTACCTTCGGGGGCCCTGGGGAGCCCCTTAGAGCCCCCTTGAGAGGCCTCCCAAATGGGGTCCGAGCAGATAGGGTCGGAGGATCGCGCCACATCAACGGTGCATCGGTGATGCATCGGCGATGCCTCGGCGATGCATCGGCGACGTCGGCGATGCATCGGCGCTGCCGACGTGAAGCAGAGCGGGCTTCACATCAAGCCGCATCGCCGATGCATCGGCGATGCGGCGCGATCATTCGACCCCGTCTACCCCAATCCCATATGGGAGGCCTGGACCTTTCCTGCACCGGTCGATCCCCCCCCCATTTCCCAAGACCCACCATCATCGAGTCGGGACCCACAGAGCGGCCCGACATCGGCGGCCCACGGCCACAGGGGCACCTCCCCGACGCCCCTGGCGAACAGCGCCAGGGGAGGCGGCAGGACATGCTCGCGAGCTCCGCCTCTCCACGCGCCCTCTGACGGCCGAAGGGGGGCTCCACCGACGGGATCTTGGGCCAGCGGCCCATCGAGCACAGCCCTTCCCAATGCGGGGGCAACGCTGCCATGCCCGAGCGAGGCCCTCACGTGGCAGCTTGTCATGGGCTTCCGAAGTACCCGCTGGTGAGTACCAAGTTCGGTGCCGCTCGGCCTCCGGAGCCGCGTGTGGCTAGAAGCGGTCCTGACCCAAGGTGTCCTTAGCGTTCTCGCGCCGTGCTGCTGGAGCCCCCTGAGACTGGGTGCTCTGAGGGCCAGCTGAGCCTGCCCAGGGAATCCTGGGAACATTGGGCCAAGGACGCTTTGGCAACACTGAGAGGCCCATTCCGAACGCCACAACCATCAGAAAACGACCCGTCCGCGACGAACAACAGAAAGCAGTCCCTGGAATTAGGTCGAAAGCTCCAGGGGGGAGGGGCACGTCATGAACAAAAGAACACTGCCTCGGAGGTCTGGGAACAGTGGGACCGCTGTTTGAGTACAGGCCCTGCGGGAAGAGCTGGACAGACCTGAAGTAGGAAGGCGGCTCACACGGAGTGAACTCGGCCTGCCCCCCAACAAAGAAGACCATCATAGGCGCTCCAAATCTGCCCGGATCTGAGAGTCCGCAAAACTCCGAATCTCAAGGAATGGCCTGGGAATTTTCAGACCCCTGGCAAAACTGACTGACTACCTACCAGACCACCCCAACCCAACCCGAAGACCCGAATTTGACCCGAATTTCGGGTTGGGGGGGTACGGGTTCCATGTGTTTTTTCGACGTTCCCCGACCCCCCCCTACTGGAAATGGAGGGCAAATTGAGGCCTTCGGGTTGGGTTGGGGTGGTCTGGTAGGTGGTGACTGACGGGTCCGCGGCGCGGGATCCTGCTCTTGCAGGGCCGGACGGCAAGGGGGGCTCCGCCGAGCCCCGCCTGGACACGGGCCGCCCGCCTCCGGAGGCCCCAAGAGAGCCGGCAAGGCCCAAGAGAATCGAGACACGACGCAGTGGATTCGGGCCGCAATGCTCCCAATGACGCCCGCGATCGAGCATCACGCTTTGTCTTCTCTGGGGGTCAGCGGAATGGCGCAGGCCACATACGGCAGGTTGTGTCGTGCCGACACCAGCGTTGGATTCGGGCCGCAATGCTCCGAATGACGCCCGCGATCGAGCATTATTGGGCGCCCGAGTTCTCCGGGGTAGCTCGGGTCCGGGGTAACTCGGGTTCGGGTTCCCGAAAAACGAGCCCGAGTTGTCCCTGACCCGAGTTACCCCTGATGATTCGGGGCTCTGGGCGCCCGAGTTATCCGGGGCAACTCGGGTCCGGGGTAACTCGGGTTCGGGTTCCCGAAAAAAACGAGCCCGAGCTATCCCTGACCCGAGTTACCCCTGATGATTCGGGGCTCTGGACGCCCGAGTTATCCGGGGTAACTCGGGTCCGGGGTAACTCGGGTTCGGATTCCCGAAAAACGAACCCGAGTTATCCCTGACCCGAGTTACCCCTGATGATTCGGGGCTCTGACTCTTTGTCTTATCTGGGGGTCAGCGGGATGGCGCAGGCCACAGACCCAATGGGCAGAGCTGTCAGCGTCTCCCGGCGCCGGAGGTGCCAGTGGTACCCGCATCGAGGAAGGAGCTCGGCGGCGGAGCCGAAACCGGCTGCGGCGTGCAGCAGATGTCGCGTCCAAAGAGTTCCCAGTCACCCCCCCCTCCTTTGAGGGGCAACGGTAGGAGGGGACTGGCACGGGGGGGGGGGGGGGGCACATCGACCTGGACACATCGCCGATGGATCGGCGATAGGCCCCCGACAGTGAATCCGCACGCTCCTGGGAAGGCTCGGGCTATCGGGCCCCTATCGGCGATCCATGGACGACGGGGGGTCGATACATCCCCCCTATGTCGATCCCCCCCTTATCGTTGCCCCTGATCCTTTCTAGGTGGCGACATCCGAACCCTACCCCCACTGACCATCGATCGATTCTCCCGAACCGATGGGAGGTCGGGGTAGGGCTCGGACTTCGCCACGCGTTCGACGAATTCCAAACCCTAACCCCGCCGCCCATCGGGTTGCCTGACTCCTTGATCGGCGAGGAAACTGCCCCTCCTCCTCGCCCTCATCCTCGCCGCTCATCCTACTCCACCTTCCCCTCCCTCTTACCTTTCGCCCCCTCCCCTCCCCTCCCCCTTCCCCTCTGCTTCTACACATCCCTCATCCTCCTAGCCCCTCCCTCCCCTCCTCCCACACCCTCCACCTCCCTCCCTCACCTCCCTCCTCATCCGAGAAGGAGGAGAAGGAGGAGCAGGAGGAAAGCTGCCTGTCAGGCGAAAGGACGCCGTGTCCGTGGAGCCGGCCCTGGCGAAGCCGCCGCCCCCGTCCACGTCGACGTCGTACTCGAGCTGGGAACGGGCCGGTGGGGCGGCCCGAGCGCCATGGGGGCCCCGAGCGCCGCCGTCTCCCGAGGGCCGAGGGCCGACACCCTGCGAAATGCTTAAGAAATCATGGGTTAAGAAATTCATATAGTCTCAGAACTTGAGTCAAAACCCAGAATTTCGATCGAAATCTTGGGATTTGCATTGAAACATGAAGAATCATCGAGGCTCTGGCCGAAAACTTCCGTTTTCTTAAGCATCGCCTAGAGAGTGGAGGGCCTCTGCAGGACCCCGTGGGGCCGAAGGCGACGTGGGGGCCGAGGGCCTGTCGGACGCAGCAGGGCCGAGGGCCGAGGGCGCAGCGCCGAGGGTCGAGGGCTGGGCGTCGGGGCGCCCTCCCCCCCCCCGTCGTGCTCCCCTCCCCCCCCGCGCGAGGGGGGTCCGGCCCGCCCAGGGGCTCTCCCCAACGGGGGGGGGGGGCCGCGGGGGCGGGCCCGAGGGGGGAGGGCGGAGGCTTAACGGGCGAAGAACGGTATAAAATGAACTTTTTCGCTGTCGGGGGCGCCTGTCCCTGGGCGGCCGGAAAGTTTATACCCTTACGGTGGCACCATAGGGGTAGAAACTTTCCAGCCGCCCAGGGACAGGCGCTCCCGACAGCGAAAAAGTTCATTTTATACCGTTCTTCGCTCGCTGAGAGGCGGGAGGCACAACGGGCAGCGATGCGGAAGGCAGGAGGATAAAACGACGCGAAGATCGAGACAAAATCGGATCGGGACAACTCGAAATCTCTGTGAATCGGCGGGTTTGGAGGATGTGTTGGGCGCCGCGGCCGCTCCAGAGCGTTCCGGAACGCTCTGAGAGCGCTCCGGAACGCTCTGGAGCGATTTATCCCGATCCTAGCCCTGTCTTATAGGACCATGCCAGTGCTGTGCGTGCTCCTCGCAGGCGTGTGTCCGACGAGGCCGTACGAAACCGCACCCCTATGGCATACGTCGTAGCCCCAGAGGCGGGGCCCGGCTGCGCCCACCACCAAGCATCCCCAGAGCGCGCGCGTCGCCCCCTGTGGCCATGGGGGGGCGACGTGCACACAGCACCACCCTGAGGTCCGATGTAGCGACAAAGCTGCAACATCGCAGAAAACAAAAACACGAGTGGAGCCCGATAGGCATCTCTTGAATCACCTCTCGAGCCGGATGCATCTGCGAGGGCCCCCGGGCCCGAACGCAGGCGAACACATGCCCGGTTCGACAACAAATGCAGCGCCGGGATCTCAGGGTAGTAAGTTTGGGTGCTGAAAATTGAACAAGGAATGGCCGTCCCGGCATTCCTAGCCTAGTCCTACCACGAAATGTTCTCAGAACCCAAACATGTTCTAAGAACAAAAACAACGTTCTTCGAACATTGACCCGACGTGTTAAAACAAGACAGCCTCGACCAGAACTAGTCTAAGAACATTTCGATGCAAACCACGAAAGGCTCTTGGAACATTCTTTGGTAGGCCTACCGGCGAACCAGGACGCTTCGCCACTGCTCGAGACATGCGCCGCCAGCGTTGCCTGGCCCTGGCCCTGGCCCTGGCCCTGGCGTCCCTCGGCACAAGCGGCGGCTCCTCGGTTGAGATGGCGGGGACCCCGGGCCGCGGCCGGGGGGCGGAGCGCCCCGCGGCCCGGGCGCCCCCCAGCCTGCTCCGCACCCGCGCACCCGGCGCCCGGCCTTGGGGCCCCCGGGGGGGCCCTCGCAGGCCGTGCTGGCTCGAGGAGCGCGGCAGGCTGTGAGGCAGGGCTGGGTCTGGGGCCGACGGTCGTGCTTGCTGGCGGGGGGGCTAAGACGAGCGAGTGCCACCACCTGCAATATACACCCTGCGAAATGCTTAAGAAATCATGGGTTAAGAAATTCATAGTCTCAGAAATTGAATAAAACCCAGAACTTCTATCAAAATCTTGGGATTTACATTGAAACGTTAAGAATAATCGAGACTCTGGCCGAAAACTTAAGTTTTCTTAAGCATCGCCTAAGGTGTACGTCGCTGCTCGCAAAATGGCCTGGAGATCCGCCGGGGGGGGGGATGCACGGTACCCTACACATCGAGGGAGGCGCGCGTCTGTCGGGCGCCTGCGAGCAGGCACTGCTCTGCGAGCCATGGAGCGCGCTCGGCGAGATGTGCTTCTGCTGCGGGGCAGGTCGGGGCGGTCTGCGCGGTGGGCCACCTGCACGCCACCACCGCGGCCTGGCCTCAGGGCCATCCTGGGCTCTGCCACGCGGTGCCGACACCCCCCACCCCCGGCCGAGGCCAGGGTCCGGGGATTGCCAGGCAGTAGAAGGAGACAAAACTGCATGAACCTATGTTGTTCTCATCATGCTTGGGGGCCACATCCCAGAAATCATGTCGAGCATACAGAAAAATGTCGAAACATTGTCGAACGAGTATCGCCTCCAAGGGCCCGACACCTGAAAACCCTCCAGTTGCGGTACTTCCTTGGTGCTCGAAATTATTTCTGGCAGTCAGGGCTAAAAGAGGTTGGAACACCATGAGCACAAACATAAAACTTGTGGCGCTCCGCACGGAATTCTTGGATCCGCGCCAGACCCCCCTCCCTGGCGCGCGGAGCGCGCCTAGGGCCTAGGGAGGCGCCAGAGAGGCCGCCGGGGGGGGGCCTGGCGCGGACCGACGAAATCCGCGCGGAGCGCCAAAAGTTTAATGTTTGTGGCGTGCTTTCTTCTTCGAAATGCCCTCCGCGCCGAGGCCGGGGCCGGGGGATGGCCAGGCAGAGCAGGCGACTTCTGCGGACGGGGAGGGTGCGACAGGATGTCGGACGCTGGCGCGGGGGAGGGCGGTGTCAGGGGGGAGCATTTTTGGCTCCGACACCCTGCCACAGCGGAGGGTGCCCCCCCCGGGCTTCCCCTCCTCCCTCTCCTCCTCCCCTCCTCCTCCTCCTCCTCCTCCTCCTCCTCCTCCTCCTCCTCCTCCTCCTCCTCCTCCTCCTCCTGGGGAGGCGGGGGCGGGAGGGCTGCCGGGATCTGGGCGTCGCACCCTCTGCTTCCCTGGCATCCTCTCGCCTGCCCCTCGTCGGGCCTCGGGGCGCCCTCGCTGCTGGATCTGGCTCCGGAGGTGCCGCGGCGACGCCGGGGAGGAGGAGGAGGAGGAGGAGGAGGAGGAGGAGGAGGAGGAGGAGGAGGAGGAGGAGGGGGCCCAGGGTTCCGGCTGCGACTCGCAGCGAGGATGCCAACTCTTCGAGATGCCGATTCTCGCGAGGGGGGCGCCACCGTCTGTCGAGCCTCCTCGTCGATCTCCACCGGATGCTCACGGGGGGCGAGGCCAGCTATCACCGGCCCCGTGGTCCGAGCGCGGCGGTGGAGCCTGCCACCCAGGCACCGGAAGGGGGCCATGGAGGCAGGAGGCGCACTCTTCGAGCCTCCCCCGAGCGAGGCTTGGCCCGCCCGTGCGCCCGTTGTGGCGAGCGGGGGGGGGCCTTCCGTGTAGCCCAGACTCCTCCCCCTCCTCCTCCTCCTCCTCCGCCTCCTCCTCCTCCTCCTCCTCCTCCTCCTCCTCCTCCTCCTCCTCCTCCTCCTCCTCCTCCTCATCTGCCTCCTCCTCCTCGTTTAGTCGCCCTCTTCCAACTCCCCGGCCCACCGGGCCTCTGCGGGAAGGGCCCTCGGGCTTTCTCAGCTCGTCTGGGCCATCACACCCCTATCTGCGATCACTGGGCGATTGGGGGTCGATGCATCCCCCCCGATGCGTCTGTCCCACAATCGTTGCACCCCTGAAGCTGGCGCGACCCCAGGAGCCCTCCTCCTCCTCACTCCGTAGTGCTCCCCGGCGTCACCTGGCCCCATGGGAGCCCTCCTCTTCGCCCTCCTGCCTCCCCGCGGCCTCCCCTGGCCCCAGGAGCCCTTCCCCTCCTTCGGGGATCTTCTGACCCGGGTCAATCCAGACCCAGGTCAGCAAGGTCTTGCAGAATCCTGCAAAATCCTGCAGGATCCTGCACCCAAGCCCGGGTCAATGCGAAGGATCCTGCAAGATCCTGCAGGAGCCTGCACCCAAACCCGGGTCCATGGGAGCCTGGCCCTGCAGGATCCTGCCAGGCCTGGCGCTCTGGCTGACCCCCGTTTGCATTGACCCCCGCCTCGAGGCTCCCGACTCCTGCCTCCCCAGCGTCCCCCGGCCTCTGCCTCCTCGTAGACCCCGCCGGGCACCCTTCCCAGCCCATGGCCTCTCCGGGCGCGGCCTCCACGGGGAGCAGCACGCGTGGCAACTAGGCGGTCTCCCCGGGAACCTGGGCCGCGGCCTGCTCCCGCGAGCGACGAGGAGCAGTCTTCCGAGGGTGAACCGGGGGGCACCACGCCGTGAGGGCACCGGGAGACTTGCTGCCCTTTCACGGCAGTCGGCAGCCACGTGTGAGCCCTACTTCTTAGAGGCCTCCCGAATGTGGCCCGCACAGACGGGGTCGGCGGATCGGGCCGCATCGCCGATGCATGGGCGATGCGGCTTGGTGTGGAGCTCGACTTTCTCCATGCCGACGGCGCCAGTTCATCGCAGACGCTGCCGATGTATCGTACAGGTATGAGTGATACACTGGCGATGCGGCGCGATCCTCCAACCCATCTACTCAGACCCTATCTGGGAGGCCTGGACCCCTGCAGGCCAGGCTGCTGAACAACCACAGCCGGAGTGCAGCATGTCAACCATGCCTGCAGCCGCGTGAGCCGCAGCGTAGGAGTCCGATGCCGCAGCGTCGATGGGACCCGCAGGGGGCAGGGTTCGAAACTGGTTACAGAGGCAGCGCGATGCAGGCCCTGCTGTCCAGGGTTGCCTCTCGGAGCGTACAGCTGGGGATGCGTGAAACAAGAAGGGAAGAGGGAAGATGCAGAAGAATTGCAGGAGGAGGGCGAGTGGGCAGGGTGGCCGCAAAAGCTGGCAGCCGCGCCAAGCGTGCCGAAAAATAAGGCAGCGGCCCAGGTGATACGAGTCCGAAGACTCCCCCCTTGCTGAGGTGAAAAGGCGTGCGGCATGATTCACGGTCTCTCCTCCCCCTGTCCCCTCTCCTGGGGTCCAGAAACCGTCGAGGGGGGGGGGGCGAGGAGGGGTCCCTACGAGCTCACCTATGTACCTACAGGGCCCCCGAAGCTTCCGAGTCCACCCTACGCGGCAGCCAAGATACCCAAGATGCCTTGCACGATGGCTCCAAAGGGCTCCAACACACAGGAGAGGCCTCAAAAACACACAAGATGGCCTCAAGGCGGCCCCAACAAAAACCCAAAGGCGCGCCAAAAATTCCCGAGAGAATCCCCAAGAAGGCCGCGAGGCACATGATTAGTGTTTGGATAATTGTCGCGTTCTGTCTTGCTCGTGCTTCCTAAAATCCAGAACGGCCCGACGGGACCCCCAGACTGGCCGAAGAGCCCCCAAGAGGCCCCTGAGAGGGCCCAGAGGCGGTCCACGATGGCGCTAGGACGCCCCAAAGAGGCCTCCTGGACTACAACAAAAAACCTTGACGAGTGCCCCAAGAGGGGGCAGGGGGCCAAGGGAGGGAGCCCTCCCTCACATACGATGGCCCCTAAGACCCCTACTCACCCTAAAGACGTACCAAGAGGCCCCAAGAGGGCCCCCCAGTCCCACAACTTAAAAAGGCTCCAAGAGGCCGCCCCCTAGGCCTCCAAGAGGCCACGAAGGAGCCCACCAAACGAGGAAGCCGAATCAGCAACAACTAAACGCTGGCAGCGCGTCCAAAAAATGTTAAACACCACATACGATATCGGAAGCCGCACATACCCTCGTTGTGGGGTCGGCGGCGCGCCGGCATGGCGTACGCCTCTCGAGCAACGCCCCAAATTCTCAAGGGACATTGAGGGGCGCTTCGAGGACAAAAGGGCCATCCTGATGTTTTTAGGTCGAACTCTTCATGCGCGCCTTTTGGAACGCCCCCCTGGAGCCGCAAGACATTGAGCATGTCCAAATCCACCTAGCATACAAGCCAAGAACCTGCTACAGAGTGAAGGCTCTCAGATATCGCTCCAAGATCAAACATGCGCCTGGGCCTGATGTCAGACCAACCGTTCCTAGCCAATTGCCGGCATACCCCAAAAGACTCTCCCTCCAAAGTCAGCGCGCACAACACAAAAGCAGAAACCAGATGAAGTCTGAGCCTTCGCGTTCCCGCCCATGCCGTCGCTACCTGGCGCGTCCAAGAAGCATTCATTGACCCGAGTGGATAACTTCTGCCTCTGGCAGCACTGCCCTGACTTAGACGTTCCTTCCTTTTTCATCTGTTCCACCCGATGTAGCCAATCCAAAGCGGTAGACCACAACTGCCCAATTCATATGTGCCCGATTCTCGCACACGTCGCATTGCAACCGCCAATATGCCACATTCAGTCCAAACGCTTCAAGCTCATCAGACAAGGCGCTCGCCCCGTTAAAGTTTGTTGGCGCGACGGCATGATCCCATACTCGTCTTCTGCTGTGTGCTTCGACTTCCACAATAGTGACAGCAAATCTAGCTGAGACTCGGATCTGTGGATGTGGCAAGAGCAGAACACAGGAAACGTGTACCACTCTCCCTCCTCAGCCCTCCTCCTCCCTCTGGACCGTTATCTCAAATCTCCCTCTCGCCCATCTTCATCCCGCTTCACCATTGCTTACTTGATTCCCCGTGGTCCATCCTCCTTCACCTCCCTTTCCCCAAGCCCCACCCCCTCCGCCCCCCGCCTTACGTAATGCATACTCCTAAACAAACAAACCCGTCCGTTCGCATTACCAAGTATGACGATCAGACGGTCCAAACACTTCTCCTAAGCTTTCCGTGCAACTCATGACAGGAACCTTGGAAGTTCAACAGCCAGCAGAGATCAATATACATACATCTTATTATCATACGCACCTCTCCAAGGGAGTAGAGCTCAGAGGCGATTAATGCGTACGCGCTGCGTCGTTCGCGACTTTTCTGGCCGTTTCGCTAGGGACATCCTCGAAATTCTGCAATTCGGTGGCACCCCTCACACAGATCGTGACGTCAGGGTCCAAACACACACATGGGAATATATCATTTAAAAAACATAAAACCTTCAAAACAGCATGGTAATTTCAATAATTTCGACCCCGATTCTCAGAGAACCGCAGTTTCGCCTGAGACATCCTCCCCAAATCGAGCCCCGACGTACCCTCTGGTACCCCAGACCCCGCCTCGGAGCCTCCTGGGGGCCTCCTGGAACCTCCTGGGGCCTCCTGGGGCTTTCTGTACCTTCTGGTACCCCAGACCCCGCCTCTGAACCTCCTGGGGGTCTCCTGGAACCTCCTGGGGCCTCCTGAGGCCGCCTGCGGCCTGCGGCCTCCTGGGGCCTCAGAACTACATGTACACACAGAGACACACATCACACCCAACACATCACACGCTAGACAAACACAACACACAAAACACAGAGCACACATTATTCACACCCACACAACACTCACAATCCTGAGGCCTCCTGAAGCCTCTTCCAGTATCCAAGTCGGGCCTCTCGAGGCTTCCTGGGGGGCCCTGGTACACACATCGCAAGGTGTGGCAACCCCACTTGCGCTCGAGCGCGACCTGGCTACTGCAAATTCACTCCCAGCAGCTGTCCTCCTCTTCTCCTGCTTCCAACGCCCTTTCAGTTTTTTGTTGTATGAGCCCGGGCAAACACGCGCCACTTCTGTATATATATATATATGTACATATATAGATATACACATATATACATATATATATATATATATATATATATGAGCAGCTTTTCTCCACTGCTTGGAATGACCACGACATGGAGGGCCCAACCATCTTAGAGGCGTGGCTCTCACGTGGGGATCCCGACGGCTGCTGCTGGGCAGCACAGATGCACGGCGGCTCCGCTTCAACATCGGGCGCTCGCCCGACACGTCAGCGCCCTCAGGCTTGGCAGCGCCAAGACCTACTCCAGATTTCGTAATAAAAGGGAGGGGGTCTGGACCCTTCAAGACAAGCCATTTCAGACCTCCCCCGTGGGAGAACCCTCCAAAACATCGTCCCCAGACCCCCCCAGGCCCTCCAAGATAGCCTGGAAGAGACCACCCCCGAAATGAGACCCCCTCCCTTTATTACAAAATCTGGAGTGCACAGATGGAGGGTGGATCCCAATACAAAGGCGGCCGCTGGAGATCCCCCCGCACACCGTGATCGCAGCATTGCGCCATCCCCAGTAGCCACAGGGATGGAGAACGGCTTCAGCTCAAAACCAGGCACCCGTTCCAAAAAACGAACCTATGCCTGCCACTCTGCGCGATAAACAACATTAGCATTGTATGGACTTCTTCTGCCGAAAACCAAGCTCAACCGACAAAGTTTGAAGCAATAACCAGTCCCATCCCGCTTCACGCGTCGAGTGGTGGCTTCAGCACCACAGCGATCAACTACAAAAATACGAATCGCTGGCGTCCGCTTTGATCTAGACAGGGGTCCACCCGGAGCGGCTTGAACAACTGAGGTCCTGAGTGAACGGGGCCCCAGGACCTGGGACGGGGAGTGGCGGTCGTGACGAGGCCCGGACAGAAATCTGGACTTCACGCTACTCGGGACTCACCTGCACGCCGTTGCGGCCCACCGCTGTCAGGAAGGGCAGCGGAGGGGGGGGGGAATGCCTTGCAATGAACTGGCCGCCCGCGCGGATTTCTTGGGTCGGCGCCAGGAAACCCATCCCTGGCGCGCGGAGTGCGCCAGGGGCGGCGCCGGAGGCGCCGCAAGGGAGGCCCGGCGCCGATCCAAGAAATGCGGACCTCCGAAAACTTACACCTGCAGTGTTTTTGTTGGTCCTTCGAGTCCTGGATCTGGACGTCCACCTCGGGCGGGGCCTCGTGCGCCCGATGCGGCTCCCCACTTCGGACAGGGCCTCGTGCGTTCGTGCCTCCTGGCTGCTCTGGCCCCAGGGCAGCCCTAAAAGACGCCCAGAACGGCCCAAGCCGAGACGACGAGACGCTGCGGTGCGAGCGCAGCAGGGGAGGCGTAGCCGCCCCTCAGACGTGGGACGTTCCAGAAGGAGGCCCTGCTGAAGAGAAAACTTGACCGCCTGCTCGAATTCGGGGAAACCTCCGCCATACAAAAAGGACGGCCCAAGGGGGGCCCGACACGGCCCCAGCAGGGCCCCAAGAGAGCCCGACATCAGGAGGCCAACAAGCACGCACCGACACCGCTCGCCAGAAGACCGTGGAAGCAAAGCTTCTGTGGGAACCCCCCTCACGCGTCCCCACAGGAGCTCGGTTTCCTCGTTTTTTAGACGCGCGACATCGGCGCGTGCGCGTGGCCATCCTGTCGCCCCCAATGCAGCGCACCCCGCCGAGAAAACGACCGCGGAGGCATTCGACGCGACAATGTCCCGTGCCCCCTCGAGAACGTCTCCGGGCCAGCGAGGCCCCAGCGGCCCCGGGGAGGGTCCAGCGAGCGCCACAGCAGGCTTCCAAGAGAGGCCCCAATGGGCCCCATGGCCCGACTCCACGGCTTGGAGTTCGAGCCGATAGCTTCTCTAGTGCTCTTTTGGAGGCCGTTCGGAGCTTCCCACACGGCCCCCCGAGAGCCCGAGGAGGGGCACCGACAGAGCCCCCGCGTGAGCCTCTGGTTCAACTCCACGGCGTGGATTTTGAGGCGATAACTTTCGGTCCCCTCTAGTGAGCCTCTTGGGGCCTCCAAGACGACCGCAGAAAGCTCTTATCAAAACCCTTCCAAGGCCATGAGAAGGTCCCGAGAGGGTTCCGTGAATTACCCCCCCCTCCCCGATGATTTGTCCATTTCTGATGCTCTGCCTCGCACATGCACGACGCGCAGTTGTTGCTACCCCCACACACACATGCACGAGGGGGCAGGTGTTGCTACAAGTCTGCCTCGTGAGCTTTTCTGCAACAACCCACCCTCGCGCACGAGGGCTGCGCTCTCGCTTCAGCGCCCTCTCAGGCACAGGGGAATATTATTGTGGCAATCGCTCCCATGCACACACGGCAATCTTGCAAAAAAGCCCGTCATACACGAAGGAAGCGTTGTGGCTGTCATATCGCTCAATTTTCGGAGAGCTGTTGTTGCTACCCTCCTCATGCACGAGCGGCGGCTGTTGTTACAATATAGTGCGCCCGCCATGCACAAGGAGACGTCTTCACTACAATCCCGCTCAAGTGCAAATGGCAGTTTCGCTGCGATCGACCTCGTGACAAAAGGGTCGATTCACAACACGCAACCACATGTACGAGAGTACAGTGTTTGCTGTAACCCTTCACTTTTGAACGAGAGGCAACTGTTGCTGCAAGCCCCATGACTACAAAGAGACACGTTTTGCCACATTCCTCCCTCGTGCGCGGCGGACCGTTTGTTACAACCTCCCCACATCATGCACGGGAGACCGCTTTCGTTGGAGTTCTCCCTCGTGTACGAGGAACAGCTATTGCGACACTCCCCCCCCTCATGCGCGAGAGACCGTTTTGTTGCATCGCACCCCGTGCACCAGATACCCTTCTTGCTACAAGCCCCCGCTCACGCACGAGGGACAATTTTTGCTACAAGTCATCCTCTCACACACGAGGAACAGCGATTGCCACCGTGACCCCCACGCGCGAGGGACAGTCTTTGCCAACTCTCATCCCCTACCCGGATCACAAAGGCCCAAATCGGATGTTCGAGCGAAGCGTGTAAAGACATCGCGATGTCCCGGAGCCTCTTTGACCCCCCTTCGAGTTCTTCACGAGGCCCGGAGGAGCCTCCAGTGCAGAGGGCCTCGAGAGAGCCCTGGGAGTTTCCACTTCATGGGCGCCAGAAATGACAACTCGAAGGTGCCTCCTGGGGCCCTGTCAAGCTTTCTCGGGGCCCTCCTGAGGCTCTCCCGAAGTCCCGAGGAGGCCCTGGAAGGCCCCGAGAAGCACACAAAAGTTTCCAGAGGACCCAATGCCGCGGGAGGCGTCCCTATCCTGAAGGTCTTGCAAGCCTGCCGGGGCTGGGGGGTGGGCAACGGCTGGATCTGGCGTTGACGACGGCCGTTTCCACGTGGGTCGCCTGCGCAAAAAGGCATGCACGCCCCAACCGAATGAATGGTGCATACTGAAAACTGACATAACTCAGAGGGAAATTCGAGTACACACCGGATCTGGTATACACCGACGGCACAACTTGCTTGGCTGGACAAAACTGTGTTCGCATCGGCTCGC